TCGTATAGAATGTCGCTACTTCATACACTCTCATTGGAGGAACTTCCAGCACCTCAGCAACCTGAGTGAAAACAATTACATACATACAGTGAGGTTTCCTTATATTACAAAAAAGACCAGATGCTGTATCGTGCTTAATAAAACTGTTATGCAACTGATTTTTCTAAGAGAAATTGTCATCACACAGCTGTAAAACAAATTCCAGAAGAATCACTGTGCCTTGTTCATGACGTTGATGGGGAGCCATCCATGTTGCCTCTGGGCTAAATCCAACACGGGGATGGTGGCTGCCTGCTTGTGTCCTTCCGGGTACATTGAAATGATTGCCTCAATCCTCTACATGGGAAAAACATATAAAAAAAATATATTTGTTATGGTGTGTGTGTGTGTGTGTGTGTGTGTGTGTGTGTATGTATATATATATATATATATATATATATATATTATATGAACTTGCTTGCAGCTTAGAATAACTGAATCATTGCATTCCTCTTTTGGACTTAATTTATTTTACAGTTAGATACATTTAAACTGTGAAGCAATGTTCATATAAAAGCATTATCCTCTCAGATATTTACAAGAGATTTACAGTGCATACTTTCTAGGGGTTAATGTCAGCTTTAAAAAGTAACGTGAATTTGAACTTTAATAATACTTGTTACATATTGGTGATAATGATGAAGTGCTCATGTTTAACTGGCACTGTGCCGAGTACCCATTTATATGGATAGAAAATACCAGTATTATGTTTCAACCTTTCAGAAAAACAAAAAAGAATCTGGCTTAAAGTAGTGAAACTGGCTTAAACAAAATAAAACTACCATTGTTGTAAAATAAAATAAGATAGGTATATCTGAAATCTGTATCAAACACTCGTACAAAAATACATGTTGGACTCAGCAAACAGGGAATTGTTGGATATAAACTAGAATAACCGCCTGGAGGTTTAATACCTCCGCCAACCAGTGCAGTTGCAGTTAATTAGCATGTGAATACTTGAGTTATGGCCAAAAACAAGCTTTGTGTGCTCACAGTGACCTAGACATTTGATCACCAAAATCTAATCTGTTCATGTTTAGGTCAAAGTGAATGTTTGTGCCAAATTTGAAGAAACCCCCTCATGGGGTTGCTGAGATATTGCCTTCACAAGGTAAAAAATGTGTTTTGTGAGGTCACAGTGACCTTTGACCACCAAATTCTAATCAGTGTATCCTTGAGTTCAAGAGAACGTTTGTGCCAGATTTGTAGGGATTCCCTCTAGGCTTTCCTGAGATGTTGCATTCACGATGCCAAAAACAGGTTTTGTGAGGTCACAGTGACCTTGACCTGTCTTACCTTTTTGTTCTCCTCAGTGAACTCAAAAGGAATATCAGGGTTGTTGTCAGGAGTATCTCTGTGCTAAAACAGAAAGAAAGATAATGGTATTAAAGGACAATTAATATTATTTGCACCAAATGTATAATTATCCTTATTCATTTTTGAATAACATGTATCAGTCAATTTATTCATCAAAAATGTGAAGATGCTGTTAGAGATAAATTTTTGTTCAACAATTAAGTGCAAGTAACAGGCTCATGAGCAGTATCTAATAGTATCTATTAAAAAATAATAACCCATCATCTGAGCCCAGAGGTCAAACCAGTGCTTCTTTCAGACCATTGAAAAGTCTCAACACAGATAACATTTCTGTACACACTGCCCCCTTGTGAACAGCAAATATCATTTGAGCAATTAAAAGAAAGAACAACTTTAAAGGTGTTTGATGTTAAAGATGTCAAAAACATTCCTCGATAAAGAGGAGTGACTCAAAGACAATTCAGCCATACTTTTTTTAGTCCAATCACGGATCAAAAACATCTTTATTACCAAGAGAGTATGAAACCATGGCATGTTTCCATAACATGACAATATCACATGTGATGTTTTTGTTGCACAGCATGGTTTGAGTAGGCTGTAAGGTGGCTCCCTGGATGAATTAGTAGCTTTTGGAAAAATTATACCTTTGGGATTATTTAAGCAAGAATGGAAGCAGAAACCGAGTTATGCATTGATCAAACTTACACACTAAATTTACAAACATTTACAATTCATGCTGAAACAAATATAACTGATGTAATCACATGCAAACAACTGGTAAATACAATTTCTAAAACTATACTCACTCAAGTTTGTGGTAGTGAAATATTTGTTTATATTGGTATTGTGTGTAAACACCAGAGTCAAACTGGCCTGTTTCATGAGGAAAAACTAAGTTAGATGAACAATTTACATCTTCCTCAAATATGGAAGAATAAATCTAATTTGATTTTCTCCAGTTGTTTAATCCCATTTCATGAAACCCTGTGAGATCTGTTTTAAGTGCCCTTTCGAAATGCATCAACTAGCTGGACAGACTACACTGACACAAGGCCACAGAGTTCAGTAATAAGGGCAATTAACAGCGATAATATTGCATATTATCATGAATGTTTTAAGCATGGCAAAGAAAAATCTGGTTATCTATCACAGTGGTCATTCAGTGTCGATTACTTTTTTACTTCATAGCTCAGTGCATTCACTACTTTCTCATACAAGAGTAGTCTGTGATTTAAGAGCCAGATTGAAATCTGACTAAATTAATTGAAAAGGAAAGTTTAGGATCACTTTTTTACATTTAACAGATGCTGTCTGAAGAATACTGACAAAATGACAATAAACACTTAATACAGTAATTCAACTCTGAATGCCAATTGTGGGGTATTCGACAGACAATAAATAAGTGGGCCTGATTATACAGCTCTGGTGGCTACTCAATATCCACCTTCTTATTTTTTGGACACAGACACTGTAACTCACCACGAAGATGCCACCAGCCCCAGCGCGTGCAGCAGACCGATGCAGGCTCCTGACCTGCCTGGCCTGAAAACACAGAGAGAAAGATGACCTAAATTAGCTGGTAGTGTATAAATGATACTAAAACTATCCAAGAGACAGACTTTTTGCAGGTATGCCTTGCTTGAAATATGAAACTACCTGAAAGTAAAGGTAAATGGATAAGTTAAATAGAAAAAATGATAGCTGATGTTGCCATTGTCTACCACAGAGAGTGTGTAATATCGTGACTTTTACATAAATTTGTAAAATTCATGAAGCTATTTTCTGTTTTGATTGTAGCTCATAAAAGTTACCAGGACAAAAGATAATAATCTGACTGTTTTCGTCATAATAGGGGACTAACTAACCATCACAACGTATCTTAAGCACTAGTTAGTATTCGCTACAAAGGTATATTTACCTACAGAATCACACGTGTCCATTTTCATTAACATTTACACATTTTATGGAATACAGGTCTTAGATTATCAAGAATATTGATTTAAATCTTTAAATGGCACTCGTTAGAAATGTAGAATCGCCATTAAAGAACATGAGGCTACTGTCGGTCCTTTCTTAATGCCGTGTTTTCATAAATACAGCAATTGATTTTTTAAATCATGTCAACAGCTGCAACATCAACTGACACTGACTATTTTGAAAAGGAAAGTTTAGGCAAACGTCAGGCAAACGAGAATAGTGAAGCTAATTCCAATAGATAAATGTTTAAAACCAGAGAGACTTTTTTGCATTGCTCATTTGTCCAATAATCACCTTGTAAATGCTTGACAGCATGAAGCTAAACTAGCTAGCATGCTAGTGTTACCCAACGTTAGTTGGCTTAGCGGCCTCCACTGCTGCTTGCCCTTGTGAAGAGTCACAGCACTTTCTCTCCAAATAACCAAAAATAGCATTTAAACCTTTACCCAGAATCATAAAGAATATCACAACCATACCGTTTGCGACACTGCAGAGCGAACAGCAGCAGACAAAAACATCTTGGGGCTCGAAGTTTGGTCCCGGTTAGTTAGTAGATAGACAGGACGGCAGCGGCGGACATCAACACAAGCGTTATCACGCTCGATTAGGACGGTCTGACGTCGTTTCAGTCGCGGCGTCACTCAATCGATCGCAGATAGGAATTTGAGCTAAAAACAAATGATGCCAACAGCCATTTGGACATTTCCTCTGAGGTATGTTACGTAACCTAAATGATAGTTCACGTTGTATGTTCACCCGCTAGGGACATATGATCCAAAGTATAAAAAGAGCAAATATTTTATTAATGATACATTATTACATATCATAACAATGAAATATAATAATGATGAAAACTTTTAACACTTAAAAACAATGCTTCAAAGTGCTTCTCAGTAAAGGAAGGATAAAATCCAAATAATATGATAAAGTGAGACGCCAATTAACATAATTACAATAGATTGCAGTCAGTTAGGAGAAGGCATATAATGAATAAATGAAAACATATAGAAATCTTTAGTGGCTACTCTATCCAGAATGATTTTTCCATCTTATATTTATTTTTTCTATAGCCATTGCATTAGTTTTAGTTTACTTTTTTCATTTATTTTTGTCATGTAATTTTTAAATTGGTTCAGATGCAATAAGATAAGATAAGAAAAATGTGAAACTCAAGAAAGGTTTTTAAAAAAGGTAAATTGTACAATGTGACAATGACATATGTTTGCAGTCAGAGTATAAAAGTTAAGCAATGGTTATATGTTGATCTGCCTAAAGACCTCTTGAAACAAATTGAAAAACACAATATAATGTGTAAGTTAATAAAAGTCCACAAAACATAAAAATATATGCATGTATAATTAAGGAACTGGGATTTTGTTTAATAGCTGTCACTTTTTTTTCTTTCTTTTTTAATCTGAGAGCACCAATCACCCTCTCTGTCAAATCAAGCCTCCCTTCTCCTGACTGAATCCCTAGCATTCATCAAACTGCACACCTCCTCCTCCCTCTTCCTCCTCCACCTCTTTGCTTGGAAAAATAATGCTATCAACAGGCCAGGGAGGGCTCATCCAATGAAAAAGTGGGAGTGCCGCACCCTGTGAATCGATTGGCTGCCCTGGCACTAAGCAGACTGGAGAGAGCCTCCAGCTCAGGGATTAGAGGTGGGTCTTTATGTGCATGCTGAATTGTGTTGCTTCAGTCCAGAAGGCCTTGTAGTGTTCTTACCTTACCCGGGAGCAATCCAGACAGATCAGCAGTGACTCCAGATTAACCCATTTTTTGACTGAACGTCAGATGATATAGGCCTGTTTACATCTGTCCTTCCACAATGGTTGTTCCTGAATCTCAGGACAAAATGTACTACCCTTCTGATGACCTGCAGAGGGATGCTCATGTGCCTGATTTTAACTCTTATCTGGCACTGTACAGGAAGTCTCTTGAGAATCCAGAAGGTAGGTCAAACACGTCTATATTTTTAGTGCAGTACTTGCAGTGTTTTCTTGCATTTCCTCTACTCTGAGCCTGTCTTTATGCAGTATCTCTCAGTGTTTATCTGCCCTGTCTGCAGCATGTAACACTGCTATAACTTTATTTCAGCTTTCTGGAAAGAGGTTGCTGATGAGTTCTTTTGGAAGAAGCCACCAACAGGGCCAATGCTGCAGTACAACTTTGATGTGACAAAAGGGAACATATATGTCAAATGCATGGAAGGGGCTAAAACCAACATATGCTATAATGTCCTGGACAGGCATGTGAGGGAGAGGAACCTCGGTGAAAAGGTTGCCTATTACTGGTAAGCGACAACGCGTGCCCTGAGTGAATGATGGCTTTAATGGGAAATACGGCCTGGAGTTATGTCAAGTATTCCAGGCAATAACAACTGCTGTGTCCCCAGTTGCAACCTCAGTGCACCAAAACAAACCACAGTCACTGCAACACAATGTCAGTGTTTCAGTCTCTCTGCTGCCAGAATAAAAAAAAGAGAGCATTTAACAGGATTTGTTGTGAAATTTTCCCAGAATTCATGATTTGGGTCCAACACATTTGACATTCTAGGAATACAGCAGATTTAAGACTCCTGCAAAACTCATCAAGCAAATTTATTGTGTTTTGTTATACTACAAAACCTGCTTCTACCTGAATCTTGACAGAGTCTTACAATAATAAAAGTCCAATAAGAGTCTCATAGATTGTTTACAGAATAAGACTATCTACAGTTTGTTAGAACATAGATTTCATAACTGTTCTCTTTCCAGCCTCTGACTTCTGTACTTTTTAAACGAATCTCACATCTTCAAAAGTCCACCGTAAAGGCTCTACTTAATGTCTTTTAACTTTATGTTATGGCACATAGTGCATTTGTTTTGTCAACTGAAGAATCTTAGCAAACAAGACATAGTTGTTCTGCAAGCTCAGCAGTAATAGGGGTTCAATGGAACCAGGCACAGTATAGACTCACCCACATGTCTTGATGTTTGCGCTACATCAAAGCACTTATGTAATATATCTGCTCAAGTGTTTGCCATGCCTGTTTCAGCAGCACATAATGTGAGGAGGATATAGCGTGTCAGCTGTGTTGATACTGTATTTATATGAAAGTTGTCAGTGACCAGATAGTTTGGTTTGACCTGTTTAACACTTATATGTGTTGTTGTGTTGTGTTGTCCAGATAGCATCTAGAAAACTGAAATAGTACAACATTGTGAAAAATAAGAGACCAAGACTTTAACTTAAAAGTCAAACTGTATAATCTTTTAGTTGCTTTTACTTGCTACTGCATCTAACACTGGCTGTTACTGGCAGCTGCAAGAGTCAACTTGATAACACAGGCTAATACTATGAGATCAATAGATGTTTGTATTTCAAAAAAGATGTGAAATTACCATCCACAAATAAAAACTATTTAACCCCAAGGGGCTTCTTGAGGAAATTAATTGTTTTTACACTGTGTTGTGACTAAAGCATAAAATTTAAGGGATTATGCTGATTTGCCAAATCAAACCACCAAATAAAAGGCATCAACATAAAAGTAATCGCTTTCACATAGCTAACTGTTACTTTTGTTTTAAATGATCATCACTGCTTTAACATTGGAGATGATGATAATTATATCTGGTTTAATGTACAAGGCATTTCATGGTCACTTTAAAGCTATGATATATAGCTTACTATAAAGCCTATAAAGCCTATAAAGTGTTAGTAACAAATGGTTTTAATATCAAATATGCCTAACAAAATTTTCTTTTTCAGTGGGTGGGATAATATAGCAAAAAGAGAAACATCATGCATCAGGGTATTTAATATAAATCGAAAAAACAGGTAGTGCAGCCATTTATCAGCTGATGAGTTATGCATCATCTGAAACTACGTAAGTTTTTTAATTAAGTTTTCCCTTTTAGGCAAGAAAAGGTTAAGCAACAGCAATGAATGTATACAGAAGATAAGAGCATTACATAATTCATTTAGATTAAAACAGCAGAATAAGTGACATAAAATGAATTATATAGAAGACTAAAAGAAAACACAAAGAAGAAATCAAATAAATGAAATAGCATAGATAGTAAAAAAAAACTAAACAGAACAAAGTCTAATTAAAGCAACGATTAACATACATTACATCACCAGCTTTGATTCATCTTAAATTAGTCATGTCTCAGATATTCTGGAGTTTGTTCATGATAAGGACACTATATTAGGAAACACTCCTCTGGGTCATATTTGAGGGTAGGAAAAAATGACCGACATGCTCGTATGGATTGGAGGATTTGTTGGCAGCACAGCAGTTAAAAGCAGCTTCTCTATTTTTGGATGTAATGGCACTTGGCCTCAAAACAATTTAGTGATTCTTCTTGGTCTTTGTTAGATCTTAAGCAGCAGCATTCTGAATGAGCAGCAGCTGTCAAAGAGTTTTTTTTAGACAGACCTGAGGAAATCCTATTACAGAAGTCCAACCTACTTGAGAAAAGGCTTGGATTAAGTTTCCTAAATCTTGTTTGTATGTGAATTCTGTAATTCCTGCTAAATTTTAAGGTGGCAACAGGTTACTTTGTTATTGTCCCAACGTGGCTGTGAATATTTAGGTAGAATTTCATGGCTAAACCAAGATTTATCACTTGGATTTTAGTTTTCAGCGACAGAGAATAATGATGAGCACTGATTTTCAAAACTATAAACACAGTTTTTTTCTTATTTAAATGTTGGTTAATTTGCTCAATGCATTTATTTATGGACCATACACATTTATTGATAGACATATGTAAATTTGGGTTTCATCAGCAAAATTATAGTAGAAAAGTTTGTAGCAGTTGAATAAAAGAAGTCCAAGGACTGACCCCTGGGGAATTCCGCAGGTAATTTGAGTTTGCCAGTGCATACAAAGGCTGAGGTAATCCTTAAACCAGGTCAGATCAGATCAGGTCAGTTTTTTATGAGGACTGTAATTTTGTCAGTTAACATTTGAATAAATATGATTTAAAACCTTGATAAGAACAGTCTTGTTGATGTGGTGGGACCAAAATCAAGATGGAAATTAGTTTAATCAGAGTAATCATTTATTTCACCATTCCCTGGCTTGTGATAAGGTTGATGCCAGGTTGTTGCAGTGTTTTGGCTTCAGTCTCACACGAGAAGCTTGCTACCATGCTGTCTGCCACCCTGTGAAACCTTGTTCCACATAGTCCTGACAAACATCCAAACCCAATATAGACACAGGAACAAGTTATCTCCGCAATGAACTCAACAACTACATGATGTTTGAATAGGTACTGTTGGATGAAGCAGTGTATGTGGAGGTATAAAAAAAGCAACACATACAGACAGAGGTTCATGCAACCTGACACAGGTTTTACATTACAGTGACAGATTTTGAGTGTGTTTCTGCTTTTGTATTTTGTCTTCCCAGGGAGGGAAATTCACCTGACCACAACATGACCATCACCTATGGCCAGCTGTTGAGCCAGGTGTGCCGCTGTGCTAATGTCCTAAAGCAAATGGGTGAGAACCTGAAGGCTTCTTTAACTACTAATGAGATGAGTTGCGTAAAACGAAGTTAGAAGAGCAGTGAAGAACACCTCTTTGACCTTGACAAAACATTGAAATAGCATCATCATTAATTATTTATTTCCATTTCAGTGAATATCTTGAAAAAATACAGTAGATCCAATATATTAACTATTAAGTAGAACCGAGTAAAAGTATCATCTAAAATCAACATTTCCTGTGAAATGACATGGTATTAGCATTGTTATTTGGCCCGTAGCCAGCATACCACAAGCCACCAGATATGGCTCTGTACAGTGTGTCCAATGTACTTGTTGCATATCGAACATACCGAACAGTATCTGGGCCACAACTCAACATGCCAAAACTCAGCCTAAAACTGTCCTTTTGTCCTTGACCCAGGTGTGAAAAAGGGAGACAGGGTGTCTATCTACCTTCCCATGATCCCAGAGTTGGTCTACACTATGCTGGCCTGTGCCAGGATAGGTGCTGTCCACTCTATTGTGGTAAGTGGTTTGATGAAGCACCCATTTCACTGACTTTACAGAATTTATCATTTTCATTTTTTTCTGCATTTTTATTTCATTCATTTGGTAGATACTTTTGTACAATTAGTGCATTCAATCTTGATGAGAACAAGAGCTGGATGTTATCCAAAACTAGAAGTGCATCCTACTCAAAAAAATAACTAAAAGTGTATTCACAGTGTGACAGTATCATAGTATAGTATATCAGCAGATCAAATGAGTTTGCTTCATGCAGTGTCATGTAGGCAATCTAAATTCAGTTCAAATTAAGTCAATCAACAGGTTTGTTAGCCGTGTTTGTTGCTCTGACCCCTTTCCCTGGGAAAACATCTGCTGAAACTGAAACTTGCTTCTGTTAGTCCAGACTACTCTGGACCTGCAGTTATCAGCTGTCATCTGTGTGAACACAGCAGCACCTGCCCTCAATATATGGGTCAGACATTTACTGGCTGTATCCAGCTTTGGGAAGACATCAGAGTCAGTGCAGTTTTGCAAGAAAGCCAGCACTAATTTAGCAATTCAACCTTACCCATCTATGCAAAGGCTGGTAGCCTTGTTAAAAATATCTCCAGGCTGCTCCGAGGTGGGTTAATTTTATAGCTTGCTAAGGCCTGTTTTTGGCAGACTTGAGTGTGAGCGACCTTGTCTCTGCTTGGTCATTGTTGTATATTTTCCACTCTATGTTTTTATTATAATTGATATAAACATCACTTAGCAACATAACAATCGTCGGGATAGCACCGGCTTTTTAGATTCACATGTAACTGTATTAATCATAAATTAGCTTGGCATAAAATTCAGTCACCAATAGCCAAACAGGACTGCCAGAGCCACTCATGCAGTGACATTTTGCTGAGTCCAGAGTCCTCAGTGGCCTGATTCATAGCGCTGTCATGAACACTGAAACTTTACACTCTGTGAACTATTAACCTCGGACAGAACACAAGTGTCTGGCAGGAGATGCAGCAAATGACAATCATATAAAAGAACAATTATAAATGTCTGGTTCATTATGTAATATTAAGCAAAGTGACCCTTCCGCACATGGTGATGAGAGGGAGCAGCAGCCCATATAGCCTCAAGTAACCACTAAGAAATAATGGTAAAGCTATAATATATCATAACAGTAGTAGGCTACAAGCAGAGTGTTCATGTATTGTTTCAAGGTGGTTAGCCCTGTTGCTAACTTTGTAGCTACACCAGATAAAAAGCCTAAATTTGCTATTTTGGTTGCGTTACATATTTTAAGGTTAGAAAAATATTAACTAGGCTACATAGTCAGTGACTTATGAATCCTTACACTGAACTGAATAGTGATAATGACCATTTCTAGATCAACAGGTAAGCTAGCTGGTTAGCTAAACCTGGTTAAGGGAGGCACAAACCTGAAAATAGATGAATAAAGTGGTTTAGATAATGCAGCTAAACCGCTGACATGTTTTAAGTTTTTCTTTCTTGCCCCGATGGACTTTTTACTTGGATGAGTACAATGTTGTAATTAGTAATACACAGGGATGGATTATGACACAAAAGGCCCCTGGGCACAGTAAAAGGCCCCCCACACTCCTACATGAGAGCAACACACTCAGACTGAAAGAGACACAAAATGACTACCACCCACGCAGCCTATGTTTGTAGAGGTTTTGTGTATTTTTGCAGCGTGTCATGTAGGTGTTTTGTGTCTCTTGCTGGTCATTTTGGGTTTGTTTGCAGTCTCTTTGCATGTCTGGGTAGTTGTCTGGCATCTCTTTATGGTCATATCATGTCTCTGTGTTTGTTTTGTGTCTCTTTCTGGTCGTTTTATGCCTCTTTGCAGTTGTTTTGTGTCTCTTTAGGTTATTTGAGGTCTCTTTGTAGATGTTTTGCATCTCTTTCTTGTCATTTTAAATGTCTTTGTAGATGTTTTCTGTCTTTTTTTTGGTTATTTTGTCTTTTTGCAGTCATTTTGCTTAATTGAATGTCTCTTTGTGGTTGCAATACAAATGATAGATAAAACTATGAAAATAAGACCCAAGCTGAGATGAACCAGTATTACTCTCAATGCCATAATTCCCACTACACCTCCTTCTTTCAGCTCTTCCTCTCTCTCTGTCTTTTCTTTGCACGTTTAGTTTGCAGGTTTCTCCTCTGAGTCTCTGTGTGAGAGGATTATGGATGCGCAGAGCAGCGTCCTGGTAACAGCAGGTAGGTCCAGCCTAACCTTTGACCAGACTGTTTGGAGACACAGCAGCACCAGGATGTGATGTATCGTAGCGCTCAGGGGCTGTAAAGATGATGTTGAAGTTGTAAAGTGACTCAGTGTTTAAACACCTTCTCCCTGCTGGTTGATACACATCATCAACTATTCATCATCTGTCGCTCCCTCTCCCTCTGTCCTTTTGTGCTATACAGATGGTGTTTACAGAGGGGAGAAGCTGATCAACCTGAAACAGATTGCGGACGAGGCTATGGAGAAATGCAGGGAAAAGTAGGTCCTACTTACAAGGCCAACAGTTTCCCACTTCTCAGCAACCACCCTTGTTTACACTAGTTGCTGCTGGTAATGGGACTCAACCCCCAGCATATGAGTCACTGGACACATAAACACCCACACCACAAAGCCCTATCAGCTGTTATCAGGTACATTGAGGAAACATACCGCCTGGTTTCCACAGTACAGGGTTGCCGGGCAACATCGAGCACTCAGATTCTCCAGGGAAGCCCAAGCTGCTTGTCTCCCATGGCAACATGAGCTTGGGAGGGATGAGAGCTGGGAAACAAAGCATGCTGGGAATGGGTATGAATGAATGCAGACATGTTTAGGGGTATCATTTCAACATAAATAAATATTTGTTTTTACCTTACCTTACTTTTCTATGTTTTACCTTATAAGCCTTATGTGAAAAAATGAAACTTCAATTCAAATTTGTGACTCAAAGTTTCTTACTCTTACTTTACTGGCTGTAAAGGTAAGTTACATGTCATATCTGAGACACCACAATATACTCTTACCATCTCCTGTGTTACACCACAATTTGATGAAAACATTTTCTATAAATAAAATAAAACCCTCAATGAAAAAATAATAAAATAATAGTTTGGTACCATGTGATAACCAACACATGCCCCAAGGGAGCACATGATCTAGAAATTTCTTAAATTCTTGGAAAGTGGGACAACACAAGCACTCCGCAGCCATGACATGATGTTTGATGCCTTTTACTGACTCTCACATATGTTTTATTTTCTTACAGAGCATCATCTAGCATCACTAAATGCCTTGTCATCAAGCACCATGCCTTAAGGACAAAAAGTGGAGCTGCGTGCAACAAACTACAGGTAAAAAAAAAACAAAAAAACTACCAAACTAGCACCTAATAGTTTGGTTTACAGCTGTATACTTTGTATAGAACATTTAACCTGTCTGAATTAAAATGACTCATTTATGATGATATAATTAAATGAAAAACTTTTGTTAAAAGACAATATTTTTTTCCTTTAGAAGTGTTTTGAGTTTTCCATGCCACATTAAAATCAAATCACAACACAGAAAAGCAGATAGCTGCTGCAGTACTAGAGGTCTGAAGTAGGATCTGGGTCTTCTTTAGGGCTGCTACTGTACATTCATTTGTGTCATACACCTTATGATGAAATGTTATACCTTGTATCTCCCACTTTTTACTCACAAGGAAAAACAACCTACATTTGAGCTTTTTGGTATTTAAGATCTTTCAGTTGAAGGCGTCTGTAAGCCCTCAACCATAGACTGTATATAAAAAGTCCTCAACCCACAAAGCATCATATAATCCATCATCCGAGGCTAAAACAAAAACAAATATAACCCAAAAACATGGTATCTTCAAATTTTGGATTCAGAATATGCCTCCAAGGGGCACAGTAAATTACAGTCAGTGACACTGACATGGTGTGTAGCTGCCTGTGCCTCTGGCACACGATGTGAGCAGATGTAATGAGTGGTTTCATGCGTTGGATTCGTTCCCTGTTGCTCTGGTGCGTTCAGACCCCCTGGGACTCAGAGTGCGATGTGTGGTGGGATGAGGCGATGAGAGACTCTCCTGAAGAGTGTGAACCCGAGTGGCTGGACGCAGAGGACCCACTGTTTATCCTCTACACCAGCGGCTCCACGGGCAAACCCAAGGTAAGACACAGCTGCAGGTAGAAACCTGTTTAGAGCAGAAACACACAATTTTTCTGGCTTATAAAAATTACATGCTGTTCAGTTTCTGCATGCAAATTCTCCCTGAAACCACGTCTTTACAACAAATCACAGCATCTATTTTCTACTCTGATAAGCCTGTAATGATGTTAAGCATGCTGGCTTTTACATAATCTGCTGTCTTTAGAGAGAATTCATGGTTTTCTAATGCTAAGAGACATAAATACAATTCTAGAAAGTTATCTGTCTTCCAAAAACACCACATCTGCATCTATGTTTTGTATATTAGTGTGAATTATATGTTATTATTACAAAAAACAAAGCACTGAGAGCATCAAATAATATGAAATCATTTCTCTGTCTTTACCTCACACAGATACACGTGCACATATGTTCACTGCACACACACTTACCCTAAGTCTTCACCTTAAAATTTTATGTTTTTCTTTATGGGGACTTAACCAATGGGTCCCCAGTCCCCACAATGTGACTGTGTAAACACACACACACACCTGCATGCATGTCCCCTCTTGAGAGCCCCCTTAGTTTTGCTCTCTGCTGTCTTTGTGTTGACCAAATATCTCCTCATTCATGTTCCTGTCCTTGTGTACGGTACAGGGTGTTCTCCATACTGTTGCCGGGTATCTGCTCTACACGTCGCTGACCTTCAAGTATGTTTTTGATCATCACCATGACGACGTGTACTGGTGCACGGCTGACATCGGCTGGATCACCGGCCACTCCTACATCACCTATGGCCCCCTTGCAAACGGCGCTACAGGTGTTCTAGTGAGTGGGAAAGAGAACTTTGTTTCTTTTATTTGATTAAAAACCACCACAATGCCACCCAGTATCTCCCTTCTTAGAGACACGTCTGTATGTTTTTTCCCAGTTTGAAGGTATTCCTGTTCATCCTCATGTGGGCCGGTTCTGGGAGATTATTGAGAAGTACAAAGTAACCAAGTTCTACACGGCTCCCACAGCCATCCGCCTGCTGATGAAGTACGGACGAGAACCGCTGCAGAAGTAAGCGCCAGCATCTGCTGAAATCACAGCAGTTCAGAAAAGTCCTTAATTTTTTAGAGTTTTTTTTTCCAAAAGCTACAGGAGGAGTCTGACTTTCAAAGCACAGCTTCACCTGAGAGCTGTCTCTAGTGTATTTTTGCATCTGGGTTTCCCAGCTTTCATATGGAAATTTTCACCTTAGATTTTCAAAGACCACACTTCTTATGTAACGCTTTTGCTCAGCAGCGAAGAAACCAAATTGTAAGAGTGATGGTGTGACTGGAACCGTGTGAACATGCATTTCTTATGGTGAATTTGCAAGAGTTCTTAAACTTAGAATAGGCTTATCTGTCAAAAACAGACGCAGGAACTCACTCCAAAGTATCACTTGTAACTCAGAGGTAGAGACCATCTGAACCTCATCTTGTAAGCTTCACAGTGAAAATAGAGGACATTATCCCTTGACTGACAGTTTTTCAGAGTCTCAGTTTGCATCAGCTCGTCAGTATAACACTAGAACTTGGCAAAAAGAGTTAGCTTAGTATAAAACTGGAAACAGGGGAAACAGCTAGCCTGGTATTTTTGAAGAAGGCATATGCAGTGTTAAGTAGTGAGCTTTAGAGGTGGATTTTGTCACCTTTGGACCCTGATATGCTGTTTCCCCCTGTTTCCAGTCTTTATGCTATGCTAAGCTAAGCAAATCACTTCATGGCTGCAGCTGAATATTTACTGTAAAGTCATGACAGTGGCATCAGTCTTCAAGTTCATATCTAACTCTCAGCAAGAAAATGAAAAAGCAGTTTCCCAAAATGTCAAGCTTTAATCTGAAACAACAACACAAAACATGTGAAATGTCACCTGTGGAGGAGTGACAGTAAATGTGTAAAGCTGTCTTTCCTGGCTGCATCAATCTGCACTGATGAATCTTGTCACTTGCCTCTGACAGGTACGACCTCTCCAGCCTGAGGATTCTGGGTACAGTGGGTGAGCCGATCAACCGAGAGGCGTGGCAGTGGTACCATGAGGTAGTCGGTCAGGGCAGATGTCCCGTGGTCGACACTTTCTGGCAGACAGAGACGGTAATGAACACACACTTCAGATGGTTGTACATATGGCTGCGTTAGGGTTGTCCCCACAGTACAAAAATGTATCATTGTGCTTTTATTGACCTCCAATATACATAGTTTCATTACTTCCCCAGATACTTCCCCAGATACTTCACCCATTTGGTAATAAGATCAATGTGACTTCAGAAGAGTCAGTATCAGTTACTATAATGTACGTCTTTATGTCTCTGTAGGGAGGTCATGTTTTGACGCCTCTGCCTGCTGCCACGCCGCTGAAACCCGGCTCTGCTGTAAGTGGAAACATCTCCTTCAATGCTGTTTACCTCCCACTCTTTAAAATCTATGTTACTTTTAAACATAACTCATAATAGTCATGCTGGAAAGGAAGGGTTTCAGCTCGAATCTGTAGGATTCAACATTTCTTCATTTCCATGAGAGGATTATGATTCAGGTTGTGATCTGGAGCAAACGTTGCATGAAATCCACGCCTCCTATTTCAGACCTTTCCTTTCTTCGGAGTGGAGCCGACCATCCTCAACGAGCACGGAGAGGAACTGGAAGGTGAAGCTGAGGGTTATCTGGTAAGTTTCAACTCTTTGTTGTATATCTATACTTGTAAGAGGCATTGCATGTGGCAGCTGTTTTATTTTGTTTTGTCTTTATCTTGGTGACTTTTATTAGCCAAGTATTTTGAAACCAGTCTCATTGTTGTATTCAGTTTAATACTAGTAAGTGGGATTGCACTAGTTGTTTTAATAATTCTTACCTCCTTCATTTATTAATTTCACTCTGTTCCTTACTTATTTTATTGTGGTGGATTTGATTAGATTTCTTTGTCAGTACTTATTTACATAATTTAGCTGAATGAAATGTCAAATTAATTGCAGTCCTGAATGGGTTTAATCATGATATGTGCCATGTAAAGCACTTTGTAGCTTTGTCTTGAGAGGTGCTGTATTAATAAAGTTCATTATTAGCTTTATTGTTATTAATGGTAGCAGTAGCAGCAGTTCTCTCATGGTTTGTGTGTATTCTGTGTGTGTTGTTGCAGGTATTCAGGAGGCCCTGGCCTGGAATAATGCGCACTTTGTACAGAAACCATGAACGCTTTGAAAACACCTACTTCAAGAAATTCCCAGGCTTTTATGTGACTGGTGATGGTAAGACATCATCTTTCTCCCTTGAATCGGAGACCAGAAAAATAATAAGTTCACCCTCTTATCATGCAGATTGTATATCACTCTGGTGTCCAAGCACCATAAATGTGCATCTTGATCTCTCACTAAAATACTAAAGAGCCTCTTAAAGGAGAGGAAAGTGCTATAAAAACTCTTCTGGGGGTTATGCAAGTTGTTTTCTTCTCTCTCAGGCTGCAGGCGGGATAAAGATGGCTATTACTGGATCACAGGGAGAATAGACGACATGCTGAATGTGTCAGGTACGTACAACGCGATGTTACTGTCTGATAATGCAGCAGATTCGCAAAACCTTCAAAAAGGTTATTACAAGACAAAACTGAGTTATTTTTACTCTGTTATATAATATTACAACTGGCAGCCTTTTGAGAACATTTTTCATTTTATTCTCCTGAAACCCTTTGTCGAATTCCTCTCTTATATTTCCATGAGTTATCACTGATAAAACTGTTGACTTGATGTGTTTTCGTTGTCCTCCAGGGCACCTGATGAGCACAGCAGAGGTGGAGGCGTCTCTGACGGAGCACCCAGCTGTTGCAGAGGCTGCAGTGGTGAGCCGGCCTCACAAGGTGAAGGGCGAGTGTCTCTACTGCTTCGTCACCCTCAAAGACAGCAGGGAGTTTAACCACGCAATGGTGGAGGAGCTCAAGAGACTGGGTGAGACTCAGACACAGGGGTGTTGTTTTGTGAGGGTTAAAGGAAAAATCCACTCAAAATGATGCTATTTTTGGATTTAAAAGGTCCCATATTGTATAAAGTCAGATTTTGTATAAAGTGAGTCTTTGAGTGAGTCTCTTTGATTATAAAGCAGGTCTAGGTTCTATATTAATACTGTGAAAGTATCAGAGCGCTCAGTCCACAGAGAAATGCACACAGCCTGTGTTCAGAAACTGAGCCTTAAAACCAGCCGTCAGGACTTCTGGAACTTTGTGATGTCACCACAAAGCAGTCACTGCTCTCAGCCATGCCCCAAGCCCCGCCCACCTGGACCCACCACACAACCTTGCAAGATTTTGTTTCTTGGAGTGTTAACCTGAAATATGCTATATTTTTATTGATCACTCAGAAAACAGTCAGCCAGATCAGAAGACAGGCTCAGAGCCTTATGAAGAAAACCTTTCTTGAAATAGTACAGAAACAAATAAAAGAGCAAACAGCAAGAAAAGCGAGAAAAAAATACAGAAGTAAAGAAAAGTAAAGAAGAGAAGAAAAGAAAGGGGAGAAAAGGGAGAAAGAGCAAATACAAAGAAAAGCCAGAAAAAAAATACAGAAAAGTAAAGAAAAGGGAGAAAACCCACAATGGTCCAGGCTGTATTCTGCATGGCACTGATTCCTTTTCTCTATCCTTTTATCAGTGAGAGAGAAAATCGGTCCCATCGCCACACCAGACTTCATTCAAAATGCCCCAGCGCTCCCAAAAACTCGCTCAGGTAAATAGTTCAACACCTCCTGAAACCAACATCTACTCCTCCTCTTCTACTCTCCTCCTCATCTGCCTCCTCTTCTTCTCACTCTCATCCATTCAGGGAAGATCATGAGGCGAATCCTCCGGCAGATCGCCCGCAACGAGAAGGAACTGGGCGACCTTTCCACTCTGGCCGACCCAAAGGTGGTGGAGGTGCTGTTTAGCCAGAGATGTGAAGCTGCAGCCTGAACAAACACCTCCATCTCTTTCCCTCTTGTAACTATGCAACGGTACAGATGAAGACAAACTGCTGGGTTCTGGATCAGCATCTCAGTATTTGTGTGCACTCTTTGGGACTGAATGAAGGAGCTGGGATCAGAAAACAATACTGCTAACAGTGAACTGTTGTTTTATGTGGAGAAAAAAAAAAGTCAAATCAGAGGGTGGTTTTTATGTAGACGTCCTGGTACGGGGCCGTTTGGGCCAAAATATCAAACACAGAATTACTATCTTTTATATTTTCTTAACAATCTTTTTATGTCTGATATCATTGGAGGGGGAAGTGAATCCTTCTTCTTAGTTTAGATAGTAAAGTCAGCTTTGCACAGCTTTGATTTTGACTGACGACTGATGTATATTTTCAATCTGTGACACATTTCTATGACCTGAAAATAAAAGTGTTTAATCTGTTTTGTTGCCTTTTGTCCTTTTACCTTGATGCAGAGCAGCCGTTGGACGCCCTCATGTGGCAGGAATCGTCCTCTGCTGCTGCTATCTGATGGCCTCACTGTTTACTGTATAAAAGCCTTTTTCTTTTTTTTCTTACTCTCCTGCAGAGGCTTTCCGCCTTTTGTCGTCTAATGATGCACAGAGCACAAACACACGGCTTTGATGATGTGATCAGTGCAGCAGGGAGCAGCAATTATCGGAGACAGAAGAGAAAAGCGGGTTGTTTTATCTTAAGAGCGCTGGATTCCTTTGAAATTACAAGCGCCAGTGATCTTGAAAAGGAGAAAAAAAAAGCAACAATAATCTGATTTTTTTTAACGAGATTACATTACAGCACGTAATAAAAGTAGCTCAGGGGGACGGCTCTCTTATCACACTGTTAATGTTGGGTCATGTAAAGTCAGTGGGCTTTCTTTGTTTCCACCTCTCTGTCTGTCTCCTCTACACCACTCCATGTCACAGGCATGCAGCAGCGGTGTGTGTGTTTGTGTGTGTGTGTGTCTGTGTGTCTGTGTCTGTGTCTGTGTTTGTGTGTGTGTGTGTGTGTGTCTGTGTGTCTGTGTGTGTGTGTGTGTGTGTGTGTGTGTGTGTGTGTGTGTGTGTGTGTGTGTGTGTGTGTTGTGTGTGTGTGTGTGTGCGTGTGTAGGTGGGGAGGATAAGGAGAAAAGAGGCCAGAAACACAGCGATGGGCAGTGTTACATCATCACCCCCAGCAGCAGAGGAGTGGTTACCATGACAACCTCTTCATTCCCCCACCACCAGCACCCAACCCTCCATCTCTTCTTCCTCCTCCTCCTCCTCTTCCTCCTCCTCCTCCGGTCACAACAGCAGTCTGCAAATGTTTTGTAACATGACAACACTGACCATAAAAAAAAATGTTTAAGCTACAAAATGTATTCGTATCTGAAGACCCCTAAAAGTTTTTTTTAAATGAAACAATCTGAAAAGGCAAAATCAACACCCCTTAAGTTAATAACATCAACAAATGCTAACTTGAGTCAGGAGCTATCAAACCTGGAGTCCAATTGGAGGTGTGGGTTAGAGCTACTTTAACTTATAAAAACAATTTGAGTTTGCTCAAAATGTTCACAAGAAGAATCACCTGATGTGAACCAAGCTTCACAAAAAGAGATCTCGGAGGACTTAGGATCAAGAATTGTTGATTTACATAGAGCCAAAAGGGTTACAGAGTGATTTCACAGAGTTTAGATCTTTATCAGTCCACAGTCAGACGTACTACTCTATCGTAAAGTAGGATAGAGACAACTTACTCACCCTAGAAGTGGGCGACCAGCTAAGACTCCAAAGGCACAACAAAGATGCTCAATGAGGTAAAAAAAGATGCCACGAGTAACATTTAAAGGCTTAAAAGAATCACAGGAGCGGGCTGCTTTGCTGCCTCTGGGTGTGGCCTCGGGGTGATAATGTCAGGGTGGCTGTCCACCTGCTGAACTCCAGGTGATGCAGCATGAAAATGACCCTTTCTACAGAATGACTTCAAACAAAGAAAATCCACCTGCTGGAGTGATCCAGTCAAAGACCAGACCCTGCAGAGAAATGGTCACACCAGACTAAGAGTATGTCTGAGCTGACACACTTCTATAAAGGAAAAAATCCCTCCTGAACTTTGTGCAGGTCTGATATTCTGCTACTGGAGGAGCTTGTTTGAGGATATTGTACTAAAGGAGGCTGTTACATTACATTACATTTACTAATTTGGCAGACACTTTTATCCAAAGTGACTTACAAGTGAGGGATAATAAAGCTTCAGTGCAGGAGGAGACCTTGGTGTAAGTAGTAAGTACTACATCTATTCAATAAGTACACTGAACAGTTATAGTTATTAAATCCAAGGGTTCACTCACTGTCTCCACCAGCACTGTGAATGTTTAATGGGAGTGTAAAGATATGAAAGAATAACAGTTTGTGTGTTGTAAGCTTACAAGCACATTGTGTTAATGACCCATTTTTTTACCACTGTATAGTAACAAAAAGTGGCATGTAAGTTTAACACTTCACTACCATACGATTGGTTTGAGTCAAAACACTTGTGTTGTTGTCTACTCATTAAAACTGGGTAAAGTTTCCTCAGTATTATTTTATTGCTTTATTAATCCATATTAGGTCAACCTTTACCCAGCGATATTTCGTGTGTGACAAGTAAACGTTCTGTTTTAAGTTGTCGCAATAATGTTCCATAAATGTTGGGAATCACTGGTGTAAAGTTTACTTTTCTGTCTCATCCACACACACACACACACACACACACACACACACACACATACACACTGGTGTTACAATGATTAAGATTTTTGAAAACTGACTGATGTTTTAGATTAAAGCTCCAAATATTCAATGCCAGAAAGCACAAGATTCATAATGTGTTTTGCTTCTAAAATTTAGTTTTAATTTAATAGTTTTTAGTTTTTAATCTTGTAATGTAACTGCAACTATGAATATGACCACTATCAAGTACTGTACAAACCAAACACTAAGATCATAACCATTATGTGATAATATCTTAGCATCCCTTTACATTCAGGGCAGATGAGGCCTGAAATCGATAGAAAATACATTAAATATGGAATCCAACAAAAAATAATATCGGCATCACATCCATCCTTATCAAAAAGGGAACATCACAGTTACCAGACAGCAATTTATTGATTTTTTACAATCAAATATCTGCCACAGATATCAGTCTGACACACACAGCGGTTTTGTGTTGGTAACTGAATTAAGGAGATTGAATTTCACAAACTCTGACTTTAAAGCATCGGTGGATGGAAGATGGAGCTGATCACTGCTGACAGAGCAGTCTGACAAAGTGACACTCAGCTGGATATCGGCCGGCAGCAGCGGATCAGACTCCAAACAACAGACACTGAATTATTAATAAACTGCTCCAGCGTTATAAAAACTAATAACACACAAATCATCATGGGGATTTTTTGTTTTTAAATTCTAAAATGTAGAACCTACGCATTTATTTAATCATCCATTGTTTTAACCCTTACCACAGAAATTTCCATCAGCTAGCCTATGTTTATTTATTTATTTAATGTTTCCTCTTCATTTGATAATCTAATATCCCTATTCTATGAATTTTCTGCCTTCTTTTTTTATTGTTTTTTAAATAACTTTGGATGAGGAAACATCTGTGTGTGTAGTCTTATTTGTGTCTCTGACTTGAGAGCTTTAGTCTTGAGTGTGTGTTTGGCCTTGTGCATGTCACTATCATCATAAAGGCAGACTATCCATGTTTTCATTTGTTTGTGGATGCTACAATTGGTTTTAATTTTGTATCTCCTGATGAAATATGACCTGAGAAAAAGAGAGTGAGATGAATAAAAAATACACCTCTCAGTTTAGAGCAAAACATTTCAGATGCCCCACAGAATGCTAATTCCTGAACTTTGTATGTATAATATTGAAACATTTCTTTACCTTACTGTGAAAAGCATGAATAGCAGAGATGGAGTCACAGAGGTCATTAACAAGTATCATGTCTGCCAAGGTACACTGAATATTTCACAGCAATGTGTGTGTGTGTGTGTTGTGTGTTGTGTGTGTGTGTGTGTGCGTGCGTGTGTGTGTGTGTGTACCTGTATGTTGGTATTGTGGGGACTGTGTTCGCACAGTCACATTATTGGGTCTCACATCCCACTTGGGGACATAAAGCAGGTCCCCACATAATAAACATAAAATGTTAAAGTTAGGACTTGGTTTACAGTTAAAGGAGCCATGTGTAAGTTTTACTATTGCTACATAGCCAGTGTTAGCACTTATCAGTCTTGTCGAGAGCTTCAACCATAGTTGCATTTATAATACAAGAGGTTACAAAATTCCCTCTGAGCAGTGCTACATTCACAAGAAAAGAAGTGATAGAAATAGAAGTAAAACAGAAGGACTGCTTCCCACTGACGGAGACAGTTCTCTGTGAGTAAAGGAATAAAATTTGATGCTGAACCTGCAACATTTCTTCTAGACTGGTCAGTAAACAGCAAAACATACAAATAGCTCCTTTAAGGTTAGAGTAAAAATCAGAATCAGCTTTATTTGCTAAGTATGTCGTCTAATTTCCAGTATCACACTGCACACAGATGAGAAAAGGATGACAAATCAAACATGGATAAGTGAACTTAAAGATATTTTTTTATGGGAAAGTAGGTGGAAAAAAGCAACAAATGGACAACAACACAGAATGTCTTTATAAAGGTCAAACTGCAGCTGTAAACTGTAAATAGTCCTCCAGTTAGTGCAAGGGAGCATGGGAGTGTGAAGAGTGGGGGGAAAAATATTACATGGTAAATGTAAAGTAACTTTATATACGCACACAGTAGGTGTAGTATATGAACTAGTATGTCTCCAGAGACTAAATTTGGAAACATATGGAAAATGGTGAATATTGCAAAACATTTTACTATTTCCACATTGATCTAAAAGCAGAGAGTTATTGTGTTTAAATCATTGCAACTCCTCTCCAGGCTTCCTCAACCCCAAGCCTCCAGAGGATTAAGGCCCCAAATCCTCTGTCATTGTTTTTGATGTGGTATCACACCAACTCAGACAGACAGAGACTGAGCCTCAGATGCTGCGTGTTACCCAGAGGTTTCACCACTATACATCCCAGCCTGTGTAGAGGCAGAGGCCCGCTGTGAGTGACACAAAGATGTGAGTTCTGTGTGTGTGCATTTGTTTGTGCCTGTGCCATGAAGAAGACTGGGCACGTCCAAAGGAAATTACGCAGACAAAAGAGGAATCAAGGAGGCACCAAATGAATGGCATCTTTTTGTTTTTGCTCTTCAAAAGACAGACAGATGGTGTAACTGAACCTGAAGCCTGTTGGACATTTTTCTACTTAAAACTGTATGTTGAAGAGTAGGTTTTGAGATAAGCAGGCGGAGGTCAACCACAGATCTGAATTCAACCAAAAAA